CTCTCTGCAAATCCCTCCACTGGCTTCACTCAGTGTCCTCCACCCCTCTCTACCAATCCTTCCGCTGGCCTCCACTCAGTGTCCTCCACCCCTCTCTGCCAATCCCTCCACTGGCCTCCACTCGGTGTCCTCCAACCCTCTCTACCAATCCCTCCGCTGGCCTCCAATCAGTGTCCTCCACCCCTCTCTGCCAATCCCTCCACTGGCTTCCCATTGCCCAACAGATAAAATTCAAAACATTAACATATAAAACCATTTATAACCCTGCCCCAAATTACATCACCAATCTTGTCTCCAAGTATCACCCAAACGTACTCTCCGCTCCTCGCATCACCTCCTACACTCTAGCTCCCTTGTCTCCTCCTCCCATGCTCATCTCCAGGACTTCTCCAGAGCCTCCCCCATCCTCTGGAACTCTCTATCCCAATTTATCAGCAACCCTCTGTTTCCCTGCATTTTATTCCTGGCATTTGCCAGCACCTGCACAGATCTACCGTGCACTAAGCTTGTTGTTAATAAAGTTTTTGTGACATACTACACTATGGGTACTCTTCCACTTTTTGCCCCTCTTTGAGGGGTCAGCAGACACAGCTTCCAATTCCATACTACATCCAGAGGAGGGAAGCCTTCACTTGGAGGGATTCTTATCCGGCTGATCTATCCTGATCCTGAGGAGGTCTTGTGAGCCCAGCAGACTATCGTTTGATGACATTCCTTCCAGAGGGAGATTGGTGTCTGTGGGATTTAATACACACATGCTCATTTCCTATGCGCGGTCGGTGAGTGCGCATTTTCACCATTTTTGGATTCCTCATAGCTGTGCCCACTTTTATATCATATTGATGAACTAAACGAACATTTGATAACATAATGTGGGATCGAACTTTTTAGATTGAATTTTACAGATCGATTTCTCTGCTTGTTGATTTTAGCGCTGCACTTTATCCATTATTAGGAAACGTAAAAATGCACGTGCTAGGAAATGTTTCATGTGGAAATAGAACGATCCTGTTCATAAACATTCGTTCATTTAAGTGATTATATATGGTATAAGAAAACAAAGAAATGTTTATGTGTAGAATATGCAAAACTACATTTATAGGTAGAATACATACAGTATATATATATATATTTTGTTTATCCACTACAACCCCATTGACTAATGAACTTATAATATAAATGTAAATATACTTCAAAACATACAGACAGTGGCACTTTCCTCTACTTAGGCTGTTAGTTGCTGACTTCACTGTAGCCAGTGGAGCATGGATCTATTGTTTTTGTCTAGTCAGGGCTTTCTGAGCTGGGTGTTTGATTTTTCCCTCCTGCTTCTTGGAGAAGCTTCCAGAACATAGGGCAGGGGGAGTCAGATACGCAGTTATGAATATTTATAATTCTTCAGCCAATCCCTAGAAGAGGGGCATCCAACAGATGGGGGGGTCAATAAATGTTTGGGAGGCCTTTCCAGAGGAGCCTTTCTCTGCTAGGAAGGGTTCCTGTTCTCCTGGGGCTGCTATCCTTGGAGGCAGCTATACTGAGACAAGAACTGCAGTTTGAGCCTTAGCAGGAGTTGTGCTGATGACCTGGAGAAGATTTCTAAAGGGTTTTTCTGGAAGACATTGTTCTGAAGCCCTGGTCTGCAGAAGGATCTTTTATCTCGCTCACAGAGGAACTTCCTGTGAAAGCTGGGTGGCAGCCAGATCCTGGGACATTGTGAGTAAGGCCTACTGTGAGACTTTCATGTGTGTCTGCAGCTAGAAGGGTTTGTGCTAAAGGATTACCTGTGATCGTTTTGGAATATCCTGGACCCCTAAACTCCTCCCATTCCAAGTTTTTCATCAAAACTCTACACAGACATCCCCAAGACTGAGTCTTTATTGTTGGTGGGCATGGACCTATGTCAGTGGCTGGCAGTCTCTGCACTGGGCAGGGAGTCCAATAGTCTTGGTAATAGACAAATCACGATACTGAATGCGGGGTCCGGGGAGAGTGGATATAGTGAATGTGGGGTCCGGGGAGAGTGGATATAGTGAATGCGGGGTCCGGGGAGAGTGGATATAGTGAATGCGGGGTCCGGGGAGAGTGGATATAGTGAATGCGGGGTCCGGGGAGAGCAGATATATTGAATGCGGGGTCCAGGGAGAGCGGATATAGTGAATGCGGGGTCCGGGGAGAGCGGATATAGTGAATGCGGTGTCTGGGGAGAGCGGATATAGTGTATGCGGGGTCCGGGGAGAGCAGATATATTGAATGCGGGGTCCAGGGAGAGCGGATATAGTGTATGCGGGGTCCGGGGAGAGCGGATATAGTGTATGCGGGGTCCGGGGAGAGCGGATATAGTGTATGCGGGGTCCGGGGAGAGCAGATATAGTGTATGCGGGGTCCGGGGACAGCGGATATAGTGAATGCGGGGTGCGGGGAGAGGATATAGTGAATGCAGGGTCCGGGAGAGCGGATATAGTGAATGCGGGGTTCAGGGAGAGAGCGGATATAGTGTATGTAGGGTCCGGGAAGAGCAGATATAGTGAATGCGGGGTCCGAGGAGAGTGGATATAGTGAATGCGGGGTCCGGGGAGAGCGGATATAGTGAATGCGGGGTCCGGGAGAGCGGATATAGTGAATGCGGGGTCCGAGGAGAGTGGATATAGTGAATGCGGGGTCCGAGGAGAGGGGATATAGTGAATGCGGGGTCCGAGGAGAGGGGATATAGTGAATGCAGGGTCCGGGGAGAGCGGATATAGTGAATGCGGGGTCCAGAGAGACCGGATATAGTGAATGCGGGGTCCGGGCAGAGCGGATATAGTGAATGCGGGGTCCAGGGAGAGGGGATATAGTGAATGCAGGGTCTGAGGAGAGCGAATATAGTGAATGCGGGGTCCAGGCAGAGCGGATATAGTGAATGCGGGGTCCGGGGAGAGCGGACATAGTGAATGCGGGGTCTGGGGAGAGCGGATATAGTGAATTCAGAGTCAGAAGAGACCGGATATAGTGAATGCGGGGTCCAGGGAGAGGGGATATAGTGAATGCGGGGTTTGAGGTTTAGTAACACTTTAAGCAACATGACTATAAGGTAGCACATAAATAGCAGAAAATTACAAACAAACACTTGTAGGAAATTTCCATTCAACTTAGAAAGTAGCTTCTCACCAAGCAGTGACTTGGCTGGTAACTCAATCACATGAGCTGCCTGGATTGCTGACATCATAGAGGTTCCAATAGTAGGTGTGTGTCAGGAATGGACTCAGCACTGGTGGTGGGACTCACCTGCCGTGTGGGCTGCAGTACCAGGGCTGACCAGCGGGTGCTCTCAGCAGCCAGAAGCTAACTCCTACAGTCAGCCAACACCTGAAGCTGATTGCAGGAAGTGTATTTAAGGAATGACCAGGCCTGTGATCTGGGCCTTGGTGTATGTTTCCCATGAGCCCCTGTACCTGGTATCCTGTGTTCCTGCCTCGTTGCTGACCCTGCTTTGATCCTGACCTTTGCTGACCGTCTCCTGTTGAACCCCTGGCTTGCCTGACCATCCTTCTGCCTGATCCTCTGTACCGCGCTGCCCGCTACCTGCTGAACCTGGCTTTGACCCCGACCATTCTCTGCTTGCTCCTCCTGTACCACGCTGCCCGCATGATACCAACCCAGCCTGTCTGACTACACTTACTTCACCCGACGATCCATCCATCCCGCACGGATCACCTTTAGTAAGTCTGCCTTCCTCTTCCCATCATACTCCGTTCCTGCACTCCCCTGCCAGTACTCTCTACCAAAGCCGGACGCACTCAGGGGTCGCGACCTGGTTCCAGTCTGCACCAAGTCCATCCCCACCATCAGGGGCCCTGGTGAATAGCAGGCTGGGACTTAGACCCCGCTCCCTGAGGAAATCCGTGCTGTGGGCTGCTAGATACACTGCCAGGCGGCACCTGACAGTACCTTACGGCCTGCCTGACCATTCCACCTCTCCAGCCTGACTACGCCTGTGTTCCTGAAGCCTGCTACTTCCCTGTGTCAGTCCACACATTTCTGGTCACACCCCGGATCCGTGACAGAGCACCAAGGCCAGTCCTGACCAGAAGTGGCTGCACAGGGTAGCCATCTTGGCTTGTTGGGAAGGATGCATCCTGAGGAGGTTGTATATTTGTGTCTGCTAGTCTTTGATGACAGAGATTATGCCTATGAGACTCTGCAGGAGTATACCCGGGATCAGCTTCTAGAATGCATACGGATCGCTCATTTTCTAGTGGATCAGGGCACAGAGTTCTCTGAGGTGCAACCTTTGATTCAGGTTTGTGTAGAGTTGGCTTCTTCTGGTGCCCCTGAGGGAAGGGATGACTTTTTGCCACCATTTAGTGCAGACCAGGTAGAGTCCCTGGTATGGTTATTAGAGAATGATCCGGAGTGCTTCTTGGAGCATTATGCTGCATGTTCACCACAGTATTAAGAGATTGTATAAACGCAGTGCAGTCTTTGGTCAGAAAGGCTTTGTGTAAGCTGAGCTTTGTTCAGCCAGTACTGCAGACATGGTCGGATCTGTTACATCCAGCTCAGTCAGCTTGCAACAACCCAGTCCTGCTTCTAACCATTCCTCTGCTCAAGGCACTCTTCCTGCATCTCCGACAGCACCCCCAGTGACAGCCCAGTATACTCTGCTAGCTACCACATGTCAGTACCCTGCTCCCACTCGCTGCACCTATCCTGCCTTATACCCTGTAAAGAAGCCCTCTGTAGCAACTGCTCCCTCCTTTGTTCCATCCTCCGGCTCTTCCCTGTCCTCAGCTGCTCCATCTGTTTACAGACCTGCATTCACTTACAGTGCTCCAGTAACTAAACCCAAGAAGAAGTGAAAATTCTTTCAACCAGTACCATCCTGCTAGTATCCAAACCAGTCAGCCTGACGTCTGAGGACCCGCCTTCCATTGCCCAGCCTGATGCCCTGATGCCCGATGACCCGATCCGGCCTGATGACCCGATCCAGCCAGACGACCCAGTGCCCGCGGTTCTGCTAGATGACTCAGTGCTCGCGGTCGTGCCAGATGACTCGGTGCCCGATGACTCCGTGCCCGGTGACTCGGTGGCCGCCGACTTGCCCAGTGACTCGGTGCCCGCTGTCATGCCAGATGACTCGGTGCCCGCTGTCGAGCTTGGTGACCTGGTGCCCGCGGTTCTACTAGATGACTCAGTGCCCGCTGTCGGGCCAGATGACTCGGTGCCCACTGTTGGACCAGATGACTCGGTGCCCGCTGTTGGGCCAGATGACTCAGTGCCCGCTGTCGGGCCAGATGACTCGTTGCCCGCTGTCGTGCCAGATGACTCGTTGCCCGCTGTCGTGCCAGATGACTCGTTGCCCGCTGTCGTGCCAGATGACTCGGTGCCCGCTGTCGAGCTAGATGACTCGGTGCCCGTGACGTGCCCGGTGACTCGGTGCCCGCTGTCATGCCAGATGATTAGGTGCCCGCTGTCGAGCTTGGTGACCGGGTGCCCGCGGTTCAGCTAGATGGCTCGGTGCCCGCTGACTTGCCCGGTGACTCGGTGCCCACTGACTTGCCCGGTGACTCGGTGCCCACTGACTTGCCTGATGACTCGGTGCCCGCTGTCATGCCAAATGACTCGGTGCCCGCTGTCGTGCCTCTGCCTGCTGCCCAGCCGGACGTGCCTCTGCACGCTGCGCAGCCCGATGTGCCTCTGTCTGCTGCGCAGCCTGATGTGCCAGCCCCTGATGTCCAGCTAAACTGGCCAATAACTGATTCCCAGCCTACTCCTGGAAATCCTGTGTCCAGCGAACTGCCTTCCTGGGTTCCCCTACATAAAGAGAAGTCTGCCAGCAGAAAACCCAGCCAGCCAGCCGGTTGACTCCGGCAGTAAGATATCCAGCCAGTTACCTGACCCGGGCGGTGGAACATTTTGCCCACTAAGGACTGTTTGGAGCGTACTGAGGCCGCTCCTTGAGGGGGGGGGGGGGGTACTGTCAGGAATGGACTCCGCACTGGTGGTGGGACTCACCTGCCGTGTGGGCTGCAGTACCAGGGCTGACCAGCGGGTGCTCTCAGCAGCCAGAAGCTCACTCCTGCAGTCAGCCAACACCTGAAGCTGATTGCAGGAAGTGTATTTAAGGAATGACCAGGCCTGTGATCTGGGCCTTGGTGTATGTTTCCCATGAGCCCCTGTACCTGGTAACCTGTGTTCCTGCCTCGTTGCTGACCCTGCTTTGATCCTGACCTTTGCTGACCATCTCCTGTTGAACCCCTGGCTTGCCTGACCATCCTTCTGCCTGATCCTTGGTACCGCGCTGCCCGCTACCTGCTGAACCTGGCTTGTGACCCCAACCATTCTCTGCTTGCTCCTCCTGTACCACACTGCCCGCATGATACCGACCCGGCCTGTCTGACTACGCTTACTTCACCCGACGATCCATCCATCCCGCACGGATCACCTTTAGTAAGTCTGCCTGCCTCTTACCATCATACTCCGTTCCTGCACTCCCCTGCCAGTACTAGCCGGACGCACTCAGGGGTCGCGACCTGGTTCCAGTCTGCACCAAGTCCATCCCCACCATCAGGGGCCCTGGTGAATAGCAGGCTGGGACTTAGACCCCGCGCCCTGAGGAACTCCGTGCTGTGGGCTGCTAGAGACACTGCCAGGCGGCACCTGACAGTACCTTACGGCCTGCCTGACCATTCCACCTCTCCAGCCTGACTATGCCTGTGTTCCTGAAGCCTGCTACTTCACTGTGTCAGTCCACACATTTCTGGTCATACCCGGATCCCTAACAGTGTGGCTCCAGATGGACATACCTTCATCCTATACCCCTGAAGATCGCACAAAAACGGCGTTGGGTTTGAGGGTTATTGCCGAAGTGCGTGCCGCCATTCCTTGTTGGTCTGTGGCCTCCTGTGTAACCTTTGTACAGAGGGCATGTGTATATAAATGTATTTTATTTTTTTTTTTAAACCATTTTTTTTATTGAAATGTCGCACTCCTTTTCGATTTCCATTAAAGTGACTACACTGCGAGGAATGTTTCAGTTTAATCGGTGTATCCTTGTTGATGTGAGTGTATTTGATCCCGGGAAAGCTGGAGATGTGAACAGATGCCCCATTCCTGGCTTCAGAGTGTATGTTTATCCTGGGACCTTGGGAGAGGGGGAGAGAGAGATTTTCTATGTTTTAGGCACTCATTCCGGTTCTATAATTGGACAGCAAGTTTGTTCTGGTGAGTCTGCATTTTATGTAAAGGTGGAGGCCACACTATGGAGTGTTTATAATAAATCAACATAGGTGAACACTTTATATTATTTGAACACACGGGGGACTTTTTCTCTGTGCGGCAATCATAGGCTGGCATCAAATTGTACATTGGGACACTGGATGCACTTTTTCCTTTTTGATTGATTTGAGAGCGGTCCGGAGTGATTTGTGTTGTATTTCTTTGTAGTTTACATGGTTGCGCTGCAATTTTACTATGGTGATTAAAACTTCATCCTTGCCTGATGTAGAATTAGTCTAGAAAGCCTGGGAATGGCCGTCTCAGTGTTGCTGCAGAGAATTGGCAATGTGTTACTGGGGACCAATCCCCCAGTTCTCTGGTACAGAGGTAATGTTGCAGTGTCCTTAGTTCAGGATCCTGGCAATGAAGAAAATACTTATGGGGACGCAGGTCAGAAGTATAAGATTCACAATGTATTACTTTTTTCTGTTACAAGCTCTAAAAAGCAAGATAAAGAATACAAACGAAAGTCCAGTCTTAGGAGCTTGAAACTTATACGATTTTCTCAAAAGGATATAAGTTCATAGGGTTGGGGCTATAGATATTAGTGGCAAACTCAGGGCTTCATTCTCGTATTAGACTTGACTGCTCAGGATAACTTTGCATTTTTCATTTTCCAAACTTAAATGTGTAATGCCGCTCAACATGACCCTTTGCTGTTGGGTGATCTTCAGTTTAAAGCTGCTAATGTCTGCTACAAATCATCCATTATCAGCTGCTCTAACCTGAAAACTACAAACTATTTCTGACAGACAAATTCCAGGTAAGTTAGTTTGGGCTGTCACTTTTCCAACTAGTCATGCATATATTCATCTTACTGACAGGGGTTTCCCTCCACTGGGACTGGTGGATTGTGACTGACACTCAATGGCTGCGGGTAGGAACTTGCTGCAGGGCTTTGTTAAGTGGAAAGGTATGCTGATAGAGAACTGCAGCCCCTTTCCACGTAAATATTCCTCTAATTCTCTTAACCTTTTTGCAAAATTTAAATCGGTTGCTAAGAAGAGTTTTGGGGCACTCCACCACTGCGTTGTATGGGATAAACATAACATGACTAGGGCGAAGTTTTGATAATCCCCCCGCATCGGGGGGCAGCCCATAAAGACTTACCTTTTCCCCCTTTAATTGTTATCACCTTTTTTAAGCCTTCAGGACACTCGGCTTTTTCATCCATTTTTAAAACAATGGGGGACACATGATAGCACAGATCAAACTCCCCCAAATTTAAGGCCCTCCATACCCATTGGCTGCACTATTTTCACACCTTGTAGGCAGGGTGAGGGGTTCCCCTGGGATTTACACGCCAATCAGGGGCGTTTAAATATTTTCCCAGTTTTTTTGTTTGGGGGTTTTTCTGGGGACGGCCCAGGGGTTTATAAAATAGGAAAATGAGGGCCGCCCCAGAATAAATCGAGCCAAAAAAAATGGGAAAAAAAAAAGGGGTTGCCAAAACAAATGGGGGGAGAACCAGGGGAAGGATCTGAAAGGAATGCTGCCATGCGCCATCAATCTAGGACCAAAGTTTTCTGAAATCAAAATTTAACCCCCCCTAGGGTTTACCAATTATGGATTTAACTAACAGGGTTTCTGGGGGGAGTCACAAGCCTCTAGTTTTTTTTTGGGGCTAGGGGTGCAAGGGGGAAAGCGAACTTTATTTGAAACCCTTTCTTGTTTGCCATCATTTATTGTATTCTTTTAAAAAAACTTTTGAAACTTTTTCCCTTTTCCTTCATGTTACTAAAGGGGGGGCAATGTAATTAAAACCGGCACAATAGCTACACTTGGATCACTAAACCATTGGGGTATGAAGACGTCACACAAGAGTTAAAACGCATGCAAACAGTGGTTACCAAGGTAATAAAGGGGTTTACATAATCTTTCTTAAGTGTGTAATTTTCAGGGGAGAAACCATTGGCAGTAGTGAGAGTTCAGCAGCGACTGTCCCCAAAGCAAAAGCAGATCGACCACCGGGGGCCCCAAACCTGTACACAGGGATAGAAACAAAGAGTTAATGAATGCACACACCCCATACCATTCCCGGGGGGGAGGTAGTGGTGATACACAACCGTGGAGGGACATTGGCCTGCAGTCCCCCAAGTTTGGGGTATATTTCATCAAGAGAGTTTACTGGATTCTTCATGTTTGTCTCTTCTGGGTCATGGCAGGGTTTAAGTTCCACCCCCGTCATGGGAAATTTTGTATTTTTGGTTTTAACTTAAAAGTTTCATTAAGAGTGTTATTTCCCTATGTCTCTCGTGTGCTTAATTAAAGCCTGAAGGGTGCAATTGGGGCCAGCGCATGTACAATTATTTTTACAGTACCAGCTCGGAATGGGGAGATGCGGATCTGCGCTTTTAACCGCGTGTATACCACCCGGCCGTAAACCACATATCACACATATACCACATGGACTTCGGGCCCAAGGCGCCAAGGCCCTATGAACCCCCTGTAGGGTTATGCATATCTTTTCAACCCATTACCAACTTGAAAAACCCG